ACGGGTGATCTTCTCATAAAAGGAAATCAGGTTAGTTAGGCAGGACCTACCCTTCACAAACCCATGCTGGCTGGGAACAATGACTGCTTTGTCCCCCAGGTGCGCCTCAATAAGTTCGAGAACCATCTTCTCCATGATTTTACCAGGCACTGACGTGAGACTGACAGGCCTGTAATTGCTAGGGTCTTCTTTCTGACCCTTCTTGAAAAACGGCACAACATTTGCCAGCTTCCAGTCTACCGGGACCTCTCCAGATTCCCAGGATTTTTGAAAAATAATTGAGAGAGGTTCTGGCATGAGGTCCGCCAGCTCTTTCAGCACCCGGGGATGAATCCCATCCGGACCCATGGACTTGTAGGGATCCAGGTGGAGTAGCAAATCCCGCACACGTTCAGGGTCGGTTGGGAGTTTGTCATCCCCACCGTCCCGGTCCTCCAGCTCAGGGCACCCTGGGTCCCGAAGCCCATCATCGGCATTGAAGACAGAGGCAAAGAAGGCGTTAAGCGTCTCTGCTTTGCCTATGTCATTGTCTGTGAGGAGACCTTCCCTATCAAGGAGCGGCCCTATGTATTCTTTACTTCTCCTTTTTCCATTCACATATCTGAAAAAAAACTTTTCTTTTCTCTCACAGACACAGGCAGCTTCAACTCTAGGTGTGCTTTAGCCACACGAATTTTCTCCCTGCAAACATGAACAGCATCCCTGTATTCTTTCCATGACACCTGGCCCTCCTTCCAGTAGCGAAACACTCTCTGTTTCCGCCTAATCTCCATCAGAATGTTCCTGGTCAGCCACGCCGGCCTCCTGCCCTGCCTGCCTGACTTGCGATATTTAGGAATTGCCTGATCTTGTGCTTCTAGGAGGCATCGCTTAAAGAATGACCAGCACTGGTGGACGTCAAGGCCTTCAAGAGCAGTTTCCCAGGGGACCTTGCTGACTAGTTCCCTGAGCAGCCTGAAGTCCGCCTTCCCCATATCTAGGGATGAGGTTTTGGTGGCACTTTTCCTTCTGTCACCGTAAATTTTGAACTCAACCACTTCATGGTCGCTATGACCGAGGCGGCCACCAATCACCACATCTCCCACCAGACCCTCTCTGTTTTCTAGCAACAGGTCTCGGAGGGCACCTTTCCTAGTTGGCTCCGTTAGCACCTGCACCAAGAAGTTATCATCTAGGTGCTTCATGAACCTCCTGGACTTGCTCGTGTCAGCCGTGTGGCACTCCCAGTTAACGTCTGGCAAGTTGAAGTCCCCCATAAGGACAAGGGGAGTTAATCTCGAGGCCTCTCTTAGTTCTGTAAAGAATAATTTATCGGCGCTATCGTCCTGGCAGGCTGGTCTGTAATAGATTCCCACAACAGAATGTTCTCCTTTTTTGGTAGTAGGAAAGAGCAGGAGAGAAAAAATTACTACAAAATGTGCATTGGAAGGTTGGTACTGGCCATGAGGAGGAAGAAATATCCATGGGAACAATTGGTTTTGTTGCTAGTAACAGAAGCAAAGACGACATTAAGTGTCTCAGCCTTTGCCTCATTCCTTGTCACCAGGTTTTCCCCCCAAAATCCAATAAAGCATGATGATTCTCCCTAATCTTCCATCATTTAAAGTATTTTTATTTTTATTTTTATTTTATTGTCTTTGACAATAATAGATGCATTGAGCTCCAGCTGGGCTTTGGCCCACCCAGTTTTGACCTGCACAGCCACATAACATTCAGGACAAGACTACAGAGAAACTGACAGCATGCATGAGAAGAAAGCGCAGCAAATGTGGAACCTGGCAGCCTTCCATCCCCTGCCCTTGAGTGACTGTGCTGCAATGCCATTTAGCTGGTTGCTCCTGAATTATCCAAATTTCCCTGCAACTCTTGCTGCTACTGCTGTCTAGTCAGAGATAAAACAATTACACAAAGGTTGAACTGTCTCCTTCAGACATTAACAGCTGATAGAATGGAGAATCACTGTGGGTGAACCTTGAGAATCTGCAGGATTTTGACGTCAGAAAGCTCTTGACTTTCACATGGAGAAGAGCCCAGTCCTGTACCAGAGGGAGAGAAACCCCACACATCAGGTCAGACTGGGACCCTGCCGAGTGAGTAGTGGCCAGAAGGAGAGGGCCTGGGCACCACGAGGGATGCCATACGAGCAGAGGTGCCTACTCACGAGGAACCAGGCCAGCTTCCTACAGAGCTGCCTTCTGAGGAGCATGGCCACCAAGAAGATCTGAGTTATCAGACTCAGCTCAGATCTGCTGTGACACCACAGAGATAATGGTTTGCAGCCAAAAAGGAAAGATGTGGAGGTCTGGGAGTCCCTAGGAAAGCCATGTATAGACAGGAAAGAGGGCTGTGACAAGGCTGAAAGTCCCAACAGGACCGGGTCTTTGTGTTCATATCTATGACGGTTATCTCTGCCACTGACGCCCATGAGGAGACAGCTTATCATTGAAGAACCAGGGCCTCATTGCCTCCTCACCCCCAACCATGAAACAGGCAGGGGTCGTACCACTCTCCTGTACTTGCCCATGCACATCCCCATCTCCTACTGCCCCACAAAGAGCCCTGAGCAAGGTGTGAATGCTAAGGATCTCCCTTCCCACAGGTTCAGGGTCAAGGCCTGGCCCTTGTGCTTGGTGACACACATCCAGTTTTCCTACACATCAGTGTCACCTTCACATTGCCTTTGTCTCCTTGTCCTCACTGCCTCCAGGGTTCTGCTCTAACGAGATCTGTGTCAGTGCTGGCCCTCAGGGGGACACTGCACGAAACTTGCCTCTGACTTGCACTTCTGGAGAGATGTCTTCAATTGTCTCTGAGTGCCTGAGGTTCGTGGGCTCATCAGCCAAGCCCCCAGAGGGGTGATTGCAGTGCCTTGGGCTGGTGCTGTGCTGCTGAGCTGGGCCGTGCTCGTGGGACAGAGAGAGCTCGTGGCAAGAGGGCCCTGGTGCAGAGAGACAGCTGTGCCCAGGAGCAGCTCCTCTGCACAGCGCAGCAGGGCTGGGGGCTCTGACCGCAGGCACCCAAGTAGAAAGGGATTCCAGGCAGCCTGGACGCTGTGGGCAAAGGAGAGTTCAGAGCAGGAGAAACCTTCACAGCTCTGCCCACGGTAAGTCTCTGGCTGCACGACAGTGCAGGACAGGCTCCTGGAAGGGGCTTCTGTATGCGGAATGTCTCTGCCTGGCCAGGAGCTGCCAGGATGCCTCTCGTGGCTTGTGCGGTGTGGAGGAGAAGATGCTGCAGGGCAGCCTTGGACAGAAGATGAGCAGGTCAGGGTCTGCCTGCAAAGAGAAGGCACTTTGCACTCTCTGCCTGCCTCATCCTGCTATGATTGCGGGGCAGACTCTGCATTAACAGAGTGGCTGGGTTTGCCCAGGTGATGGAGCTTCCTGTTGCATTTGAATAAGACATAAACAGGTTAGTGATGAACCCGAGAGTATCCCTTCAGTTCTCTCTGCTTACACACTGCACCAGGGCTTTGCTGAGATTTTCATTAAGGACCTGCAGACAGGGAGATCTCCCCAGAGCTGTCCTCATCCCCGGCAGCTGTCTGCAGGGCTGAGCTTGGCACACAGGTGGTGGGATGGGGTCTGTGAGTATTGACGGGAGGAGCCGTGGGGACAGAGAAAGAGCTGCTGGCAGGGACAACTGCAGGCAGCAGGGACATGGGCAGGCAGTGAGAGGGAGCTGCTCCCTCCCTGCCATCCCCTGCAGTGCAGGCACCTTCCTTGCAGCAGCCCCTGGTCTCCTCTCTTCCCCTCAGAGCTTCTGTCACGGCTTGTATAATATGGGGGGCTGAGAATATGGGGTGTCTGAACCCTAAATCTCTGTGTAAGTAGACACATTTGCTGCAGCCCCCTCCACCTTCCTCCATGGAAGAAGTCACAGAATCACAAAATCATAGAATATCCCAAGTTGGAAGGGACCCACAAGGATCATCGAGTCCAGCTCCTGGCTCCACAGAGGTCTTACCCCCAAATTCCTACCATATGACAAAGAACATATTCCAAATGCTTCTTCCACTCCAGAGCTCTTGTCCCTCTGCTGTCTGTGCAGGGCAGATGGCACAGGGCTGTGAGGACAGGCTCTACCTCACCGACACCGCAGCCTCTGCACTGGGTTGGGTCTGCCCTGCCTGCCCATGCCTGCTTCTCTCCCTTGCCCAGCGTGGCAGCTGGTGGTGCCTGATTCTGACAGGGAGTGCTGTGCACGAAGGGTGAAGCAGGAGGAGATGATCCCTGTTCTCTCCGGCCAGACGTGCACGATCCATCTGCTGGTTTTGTCTGCTGGGTATTGAACAGGGAAGATGCACATAGAGTCACAGAGCCAAACACCCCTCACTCAGCACAGGGAGCCACTGCCCAGGAAACTTCCCTCTTGGAACCTCGAATGGAGCAGAGCAGGCTCACTGGGAGCTGCTGGGCAGAGGATGCTGCAGTGTACAGGACACTCAGCAAGCACACAGCAGGGATCCAGACAGGGATATAGGCAAAGGTCTTCTTGGAAACAGGGAATGTAAGGCTTTAATTGGGAATTTTCTCAATTTTGCTCAGAGACATTACTCGTAACACTCTCTATTTATTTTTTTTTTCTCATTTGGCAGTATCCGTGTCCAGAACCAGCAAATGTCCAACAGCAGCTCTGTGAGTGAGTTCCTCCTGCTGACATTCACAGACACACGCGAGCTGCAGCTCCTGCACTTCGCGCTCTTCCTGGGCATCTACCTGGCTGCCCTCCTGGGCAACGGCCTCATCCTCAGCGCCGTAGCCTGCCACCACCATCTGCACACCCCCATGTACTTCTTCCTCCTTAATCTTGCTCTCCTCGATCAGGCCTGCATCTCCACCACTCTGCCCAAAGCCATGGCCAATGCCCTGTGGGACACCAGGGCCATCTCCTATCAAGGGTGTGCTGCACAGGTCTTATTTTTTGTTTTCTTGGTTGGAGCAGAGTATTCTATCCTCACAATCATGGCCTACGACCGCTACGTTGCCATCTGCAAGCCCCTGCACTACGGGAGCCTCGTGGGCAGCAGAGCTTGTGCCCAGATGGCAGCAGCTGCCTGGGGCAGTGGCTTTCTGTACAGTGTCCTGCACACGGCCAATACATTTTCCCTGCCCCTCTGCCGAGGCAATGTTTTGGACCAGTTCTTCTGTGAAATCCCCCACATCCTCAAGCTCTCCTGCTCAGATGCCTACCTCAGGGAGGCTGCGCTTCTTGTAGTTAGTTTCTGTTTAGCATTTGCGTGTTTTGTTTTCATTTCATTTTCTTATGTGCAGATCTTCAGGGCTGTGCTGAGGATGCCCTCTGAGCAGGGCCGGCACAAAGCCTTTTCCACGTGCCTCCCTCACCTAGCTGTGGTCTCTCTAACTCTCAGCACTGCCTTGGTTGCCTACCTGAAGCCCCCCTCCATCTCTTCCCCATCCCTGGACATGGTGGTGTCATTTCTGTACTCGGTGGTGCCTCCAGCAGTGAACCCCCTCATCTACAGCATGAGGAACCAGGAGCTCAAGGACGCCTTGTGGAAACTCATTGGATACATGCTTCTTTTGCATCAATAGTGTGCCTATAATATTAAATGGACACACAGGTTATCTGAACAATCTCTTTGTACAATAGCTTGCAATTCTTTTATTATTATTAATATTATCTCTTAAAATTCTGATTTTGGTTGAATTCTGTTCATGGCATTCTGTCTATTATATTTTTTTTAATTTATTTGCTTTCACCAAATCATCCTATATACCTGCAGAACTTGGCTTCCTGTTTGGATAAGGAGAATAAAGAATCCACGAGAACTTCATTGGTCTCAGATGCTATCTCTTCCCATCTCCTCTGGAGCTGCTCCCACACAGAGGAGCAGCCCCAGTGGACCTTGAGACTGCCCCTCACTGCCCGCTGGGCTCTGCCTTTCTGCCGCCTTCAGGTTGGGGCTGCTGCTTCCCTGGAGCCATGGCCAGCAGCAGGATGTGGCCTTTTCACTGCTGCTCTCTTTTGGCTTCTATGTTGTTCTCTTGAGCTCTTGTACTTCACTAAGCCCTTAGGTCTCATGTACCTTGGTGAAAGTTGTCTCTGCAGTGGCATCTCTGCCACATCTCTGCTTCTTGCAAAGCTGGTGTCAGGAATACACCCAAGGAGCTGCTCACTTGTCCTGGTTTCAGCTAGGATAGAGTTAATTTTCCTCCTAGCAACTGGGAGGGTGGTGTGTTTGGGATTTAAGATTAGAATAATGTTGATAACACACTGATGTTTTAATTGTTGCAGAGCAGTGCTTACACTAAGCCAAGGACTTTTCAGCTTCTCGCTCTGTCCTGCCAGCGGGCAGGCTGGGGGAGCAGCAGGAGCTGGGAGAGGACAGACCCAGGACAGCTGATCCAAACTGCCCAAAGGGGTATTCCATACCATCTGACGTCATGCTAAACAATAGATAGGGGTGTCTAGCTGGGGTCAGGGGCATGGCCACTGGACATCGGTCAGCAATTTCATTCGGTCAGCAATTTCAATCAGTGATCAATTTCATTGCACATCACTTGTTTTGTACACATTATTGGTAGTAGTACTGTTATCATTTTTTTTCTGTTCTAATAATTGCTTCTGTCTCAAACCACAGGCTTCATTTTCCTGTTTCTCTCCACCATCCCAGAGAGGGAGCTTGGAGGGTGACTGAAAGGCTGTGTGGTGTTTAGCTGCCGGCTGGGTTAAACCACAACAGTGTGAGACACAGCCTTTCACTGCCAGGTACCAGGTCAACCAATGCTGGCCCCACACTGCGAGGAAAAAAAAAAAAAAAAAAGCTAAAAATGTTACATACAGAAGATGGATCTTGAGGATACAAGACTGCAGACACCTGTGGGCAGTACAGACACTGACCCGTGGTCTCAAGGCTCCCTGGGTGGGGAATAAGAGAAAGAAGTGAGTGCCTGTCCTGTGCCACTTCCCTGCCAGCCCTGCCCTTCCATAGGTGGAGTATTTCTCTCTTAGCTGGGCACCAGCAGAGCTTTGACTCCTCGTCCTCTACATGGAGATGAGCCACAGGCCTGGCTGTGTGCGAGGGGGCAGCAGACCTGAGCAGAAAAAAAGCCAGTTTCATGGCACTGGGGAATCTGAAGGGTCCAGCCCTTGTCATTGGGTCTGTTCTCTGCAGCAAAGGGCTGTCACCAAGCCCCAGGTCCGTGGTTGCTCCTGCAGCTCTGAGGACCTCTCCAAGGGCATCAAAGTATCAATGGTCAGGACCTGGGAGGGTCAGCTCGCCCATGGATCACAGCAGTATATTGGTAAGATTCCATAGTTCACAAGGACGCGGACACCTCATTGCTCTGTTTTCATGAATGTCTGTATTACAAATTGCTACAAATCCTTCCCTGTAAAGCAACTACAGGTTGCAAGAAACTGTTAAGTTACCACTAGGAAAGCAAATATGGGCTTGTGATGCTTTCCATAACTCTGCACCAATAAATATTATTTGAGGTGCTACTGGTATGACACTCATGAATCCACTTGATGGAGGGAACAAAGCATGGCACCTTCCCCTTCTTTCTTTCAGGCCAGACACGATAGCTCTTGAGTAATTTGAACATCATTAGGTAACCCTAATGATATGCCTCCAGACTGCGTTTCTGGCTATTTCCAAGGGCAAACAAGTAAAAAAAAGGGTACCAGAGGGCTGTTGGCATAACTGCCATGAATACAGAGAAAGTCAAATAGTTGTCTACCTTGCCTGGTCTCACACAGGACCCTTCTGTTGTGGGGTTGCTGAGAGCCGAAGAGCAGGTGCCTATGGCTGCCACAATGGTGCACCGGCAGCAATAGTGCACTGACCTCCAAGTCCTCCAAGCTCAAGAGCTATGTATTCCTGTGAGCAAAATGTCAGACAAAGGGAGCAGGAGACCTGCTTGGATGATCAAGGAGATCCTGGAGTGGCTTGAATGGAAGAAGGAAGTGTACAGAACGTGGAAAAAAGGGACAAGCCACTTGGGAAGAATATAAGGACATTGTCCAAGAAAAGGTCCTTTTCAAATATATCAATAGCAGAAGGAAGAGGAAGAAAAATGTGGGCCCACTGCTTAATGAGTTAAGTGTCCTCGTGACAAAGAACACAGAGAAGGCAGAATTACTGAATGCCTTCTTTGCTTCAGTCTTCACTGCTAAGAGCAGCCCTCTGGAATCTCTGGCATTAGGAACAAGGGAGGAAATCTGGAGAAACGAGGACTCTCCATTGGTTGAAGAGGAACAGGTCAGAGATCTCTTAGGCAAACTTGACAGCCACAAATCCATGAGTCCTAAAGGATACATCCATGAGTTCTGAGGGAGATGGCAGATGTTACTGCTGGCCAATCATTTTTGAAAGGTCATGGAGAACAGGAGAGCTGCCTGAAGACTGGAAGAAAACTCATGTCATGCCAGTCTTCAACAATGGCAAGAAGGAGGTCCCAGGCAACTACAGGCCGGTCAGCCTCACCTCTGTCCCTGGAAAGGCAATGGAACAGCTCATCCTGGAGGTCATCTCCAGCATGTGGAAGAGAAGAAGGTGATCAGGAGTAGTCAGTACGGGTTCACCAAGGGAAACCCTGTTTCACCAACTTGATAGGCTTCTATGATGGAATAACTAGCTGAGTGGGTGAGGGGAGAGCAGCAGATGTTGTCTACTTTGACTTCAGCCAGGCTTTCAGCACTGTCTCTCATAACATCCTCATAGGCAAGCTCATAGGAATTACAGGAAGTATGAGATGGAAGAGTGGTCGGTGAGGTGGGTTGTGAGCTGGCTGGATGGCAGAGATCAGAGGGTCGTGCTTAGTGGAACAGAGACTAGTTGGAGGCCTGTAGCCAGCATTGTCCCCCAGGGATCTACACTGAGTCCAGTCCTGTTCAACTTATTTGTCAATGACCTGGATGATGGAATAGAGTGCACCCTTGTTCTGGTTAGGACAGAGTTAATTTTCCTCCTAGTAGGTATAAAACACAATGCAATTCTTTTTGCCTTCTGCATCTATAGCACAGGAAGCATGACTTTGTCCTACTCTATTGACTGGGCACGTCTTTTCACATTACTCAGTTTAGGTTTCTGTGGCTCGAAGGAGATGATTTCCCAAAAGAGGCCAAGCTCATGGGTACAGCTACAACCACTTGAAGATATATTTTCTTTATTTTTCACCCTGAGTTTTCCACAGAAAACCCAAGAGACACTATGGATGTCCAGGCTTCTACTAAGATTTAAGCTGAATTTCTCAGATTCCAACGGTTATTTCAATTTTATTATTTTATTTTAATATTTTAATTTAATTTGATTTAATTTAATTTAATTTAATTTTAATATTTATTTTGTTCCCAAAGAACACCTGACTTGTTTTAGAAAGGGTTTCATGTGCTGGACTGGGCTGCAGTTACAGGGACAAAGACCACTGCTGGCAGTGGAGGTGTCAGACCTCCAGACTCTGCTTTTCTTCCTGATGGAGGTCTCCAAAGAAGTCAGCCAGGATGAAGAGCAATAGGAGAATGATGCTCAAAACTGAAATGCAGCAAAATTCAGACTTTGAAACAAAAAGTTTTTGATTAAGTGCTTTTTGAAATCTTCTTCCTTAACTACATCATGCAAGCTCTGCAATTAGCTGAACAAATCTTGAAGTCTTTAAGAAAGCTATGCAAGAGATGTTAGGAGCTTCTTCATTTTTATGAGGTCCATGGTGTATTTTGATGTTGAATCTATGAAGCTTAGGTACTGAGAGGAGAGTGATGTAACCGCTTGAGCAAGTCAAGTCAGAAGTTGAAGTGACATGAAGTATTAATGGGTTCCAGTGAGGGCTGTTACTAACATAACCTCTCCAGGGATGTATGAAGGCAGGAACTGGAAAATTGGAAGCCGTGATTACAGGCGGGCAAAGCGCTGTGCTGAGAAAAGTGTTTTTTTGGTTTTGTTGAAGCAGAAGAGACAAGGCCTGACCCAAGCCACTGGGAGGGGAGATTCTGCACCCCCACATCTGGCTCAGGGCTCTTCCTGGGTTTTGTGGGATGTGGTGGGCAGTGTGATGTCATGAGAAGAACAGTGGTATGACACATCCAAGTTGCTGCACAGGGTTGAAAGGAATCCATGAGCCCTCATCGCAATGAATATATCATATCTCTTCATAAGCTCTAGCCAAGGGGACAAAAACCCCAGGGTAGCTTGGGCCTACCCTTCTTAACAGCACCCTCTGCCCTGTCTGCAGGCTTTCCTTTGCTGTCCCACAGTTTGATCAATTTCCTTGAAGTCTGCAAACACCCATCTCTGTTCTCATGAGGAACCAGGAGCTCAAGTATGCAGTGAGGAAACTGTTTCCATACATGCTTCTTAAGCATCCGTGATGTGTTCAGAGGATGTATTCTTAATAATATGCAAATATTTTGATTCATATTATATCATATCATTTTTATCGTTACTAGTGTTATCATAACATTGTCATTAATAACAATCCTAACAGAAAACAAAGGGTATTTGGGAAAATGAGACAACGTTTTAAAAATTATTTTTCTCTGTTAATATTTGAACAATATTTTATTTCATTTTTAATAATCTAATTCTTAACATTCTGAATGTTACGTTTTGTGTTAGTTTTTACTCTATCATCTAATGTACACACAGAACCAGGATTCCTTGGTAGTTAAAGACAATAAAGACATCAGCGGAAATTCATTGGTCTCAGTTTCCTTCTCTTCCCATTCCCTCTGGAGCTACGGGAGCAGTCCCAGCATCCAGGAGGGGCTCAGGGCCAAGAGCCCAGCTGCCACAGGTAGGAGCAGTCGATTTGGATTAGACCGTGTGGATCTAGGTGACAGTCCTCTAGTCTCTATAGTAAGGCCAGCACAAAGCCTTTTCCACGTGCCTCCCTCACCTGACCGTGGTCTCCCTGTTTGTCAGCACTGTCCTGTTTGCATACCTGAAGCCCTCCTCCATTTCCTCCACATCCTTGGACACGGTGGTGTCATTTCTGTACTCGGTGGTGCCTCCAGCAGTGAACCCCCTCATCTACAGCTTGAGGAACCAGGACCTGAAAGCCACACTGAAGAAACTGATTCTAGTGGTAATACTTATATAGCAATAAATTGGCTATCTCGCTTTTCTAGATTTACTCAAGTTAATCTCAGGCAATTTGTGATGATTAGGTATAGCATTCTTTAAAATTTAATAAATAAAATGTTTAATAAAATTTAATAAATAAAATGTTTCCAGTTAGATGTTAGATGTTTGCTTTCATTCCTCTTTTCCAGATGACCACTCCTCTGTGTGATCCAGAGGGTTTCTTTGAATGTGTTTATTCCTAAATGACGCCTGGTCTCTGTTTTGGCATCTTGTTAGTAAAAGGAACTTGCACAGTGCTCAGGGCTCTCCTTCCCAAACTGGAATGCAGAAGACACTCAGGGAATATCAGGCTCAAGGTCTTAGTGTTGTACTGGGGTTCCACCTGGACAGAGGGGCATGGGGGCACAGAGTCCTGAGTGAGGGTGTCAGGGCTTCACTGAGTCACCACTGGTGGATGCCCAGTGCCCCTGGACACCCTGACCGGTCGAGAAGCAGCTTCCTGGGTTTGAATCGTGACAGGAGTGGTGGCATCAAGGAGGTATAGGGAGCCACCAAGTCCTTTGCTGGTCTGGGCAGAGCAGGAAGGGGGCCCTGGGCATTTGTCCCCTCCCCACAGCCTGCCAGGACTTGCAAGGTGCTCATGGAGCATCCAGGGCCAGGATCTGCGCCATGGTTAACAGGAAGAGGGCAAAGCCTCTCTGAAAAAGAGGCTGAAACTGAAAAATGTCCCTCCTCTGTCCTGTGGTGTGACAGCACCACTGTGGAACAGGATACCTTTATTTGACAGAGTTTTTGTGTAATTTTCTTTGATGGTGGCACAAAAAGAGCGTTCCTTCACCAGTGATGTAATCCTTCTTCATGTTAGGACACAACTCAACGTCCTTCACTCTGCTTTTTCTCATGGATGAACTGGATTAGGTCTCCTTGATTATTCTGAGGCACAATGCAATGCTTTTGCCTTCTGCTACTTGTACTGGGTTCAGCAATAAAAGGTGGAAACAGGAAGCAGAGAGGAGGGGTGGGCTCTTGTTGGGAAAACTTTGGTCCTCCTCCCGAACACCGGCTACGTACGTTGAGGTCCTGCTTCAAGGACGTGGTCAAGCATCGCTCACTTGTGGGAAGTAGAGAGTAATTTATTTCCTCTGCACTTCCACGTAGCCTTTATTTGTCTTGTTTGTTTTCCTTCTTTCCCTTTCCCCCTCCCTTTTCCCCTTTCCCCTTTTTTCCCTTTAGATAAATAGTTTAGTTCATAAAAATCTTTCTTTAATAATAATAATTATTATTATTATTTCCCTTTAATTAAATTATCCATATCTCAACCCATAAGTTGTTCTTTACTTTACTTCTTCCCCTCCTCATCTAAGAAGGGGGAGTGAGAGAGCGGTTGTGGTGTTTAGCTGCCTAGAACTGAAAAGCACCGCACTACTCCAGCACAATATGAGTGACCTTCCTTTACTCTGCGCATTGACCTCACAGGTCATTTTGAATTTTTCACTTTCAAAACCTTAGTTGGATGAGGACCATTTCCAAAGTGGGGCAAGCTGATGGGTTCTGGCTCAGCCATTTGAATTATGCTGTACTTGAGTTTATCAGCCTGAGTTAACTAAAGATGACCCAGGAAGGTAATGGATGTTCACGTGTCTAGTAGGAATAAGGGAGAGTATCTCAGGTTTCCAAGGGCCATTTCAAATCTAGGTCAGTCCTAGCAACTCACTGAAGAAGAGGTTTGTCTTTGAAGAGGTTTCCTGTGTTGCACCGGGTTGCAGTTGCAGGGACAAAGACCACGGCTGGCAGTGGAGGTGCCCTGGGAACTCCACCTGGCTCCACCTGATTTTCCCAAAGGGCTCCGGCCTCCTGCAGGTCTTTTCTGACACCTGCCAGTGCAGGGAAGTGCCTCAAACACAACGGGGTCACTGGAGGCTTTCCCTGGTTATGCTCATGGTCAGACAGCAACGCTCAGCCTGAACACCCAGTTATTTCTTTAGTACTTGAATGATAAAGCGACTACTCATCAGCTCAGATGATTCAATCCCTTCTGTAAAACGTCTCACATGAAGTGTAATTTCTTTCATGAAGAAATGCTAATTTCCATGGTCTATATTAATGGCAGGAGAAGAAATAGTGATGTTCACCTGTACTTGCATTCTCATCTCTTTGTCTATCATGGTGTGCTCCCTCGTCTTCCAGGCACAAAACCCATCTTGATTACACAGAACATGCTGAATGACCCCTTTCCACCTGCCTGTCTGGAC